GTTTAAACGAAGAACAAAGGAAGAGAAAACAAAACAAAAAGACAAAACAATGCACAAAAAAACAAAACAAAAACATAGGATACCACTTTGGGTTTTAAAAAGTTAACAAGAAAAACAAACCCAAAACAATATAAAAGGTAAAAGATACCACGTTGGGATAAAAGAAAAAATAGAAACGAAAAATTAAAAGCAATGACAAGGTCGGGCAGGAAGAGGGAAATAACTCCTGGCCACAAGTCACAGGAAGGTCACATAAAGTAAGGCGTGCTTAGATATGGCATGGAATGTGTTTTAACGGGCCCCTTAACATGCAACGGTCGTTTAAGAGATCTTGTCCTTAAAGTGCCATGCCATGCCATGCCTAAGTTTACTGTATATTTCAAAGGCTGAGTTGTTGTTGTTGTTGTTGTTGTTGTTGTTGTTGTTGTTGTTGTTGTTGCTATTGTTGTTGTTGTTGTTGTTGTTGTTGCTATTGCTGTTGTTGTTGTTGCTGTTGTTGTTGTTGCTATTGTTGCTGTTGTTGTTGTTGTTGTTGCTGTTGTTGTTGAGTTAAGAGCAGCACATCGACATAGTGCTGGGAAACAGTAGTAAGACAGACAGACGGAGACATTAATTTGTTTGTTTGTTTGAGTAAAAATAAGCACATGGACACAGCAGTGGCCATTTAGTGCTGGGGAAAAGGTAAGACAGACAGACAGAAACAAACAACAGAGGGGAAAGTAAAGAAATAGGACCTACCACTACCAGTGACGCCCTCCAACCACCCACACAGACAGACAGAAACAAATAACACAGGAAAAGTAAAGAAATAGGACCTACCAGTGACGCCCTCCAACCACGCGCTCAAATGCTTATAAGTTATTCCAAGACATAAACTCTAACTTGTGTTTTTTAAAAAACCCAAAAAAACCCAACAACTAAAAAACTTGTGAATTATTCTGACAATGTGGCAAACTGTTCTCTGCCAGAATTGGTCTCACTGGCCACAGCAGAAGCCACAAGTCATCGTAACCGTTATCTCTTCTACGTCGTTTGAAAATAATAATTATATCTTCTCTGCAGATGCTTTAGGTCATCGTTAGCAACTGACTGGCTCTAACCATTATTAAAGGCTATATCGCAGGAAAGAAGGAACATTTTTTAGACTGTTATCATCATTACTATCATTCTCATTCTCATTATTATTTTTATTATTTTTAGTAGTAGTAGTAGTAGTAGTAGTAGTAGTAGTAGTAGTAGTAGTAGTAGTAGTAGTAGTAGTAGTAGTAGTAGTAGAATGATTATTGTTATTATTATTGTTATTATTATTATTATTATTATTATTATTATTATTATTATTATTATCATTATAGGACCCAACGCCCTCAACATACCTTCATACTCATACTGGAAAGTGGTTCAACTTGGAAATTTTCTACTTTTACTTTTCATTTTCATCTTCTGTTGCCGTCAAGCGTCAAGGGGGGATGAGGTTTTCGATAGTAGGCCAAGTTTACAGCTCTTTCAATCGCATCTATCATATCATGACCGCGAGGGACACACTAGATCTAAACATTATCAGTTTGGTAGGAATCGTTTTCACTTTTGCATGGGTAGCGGCCGAAGCCTGCTCTTATCAATTTTGGACCACCCAGGGATCTGTAACTGTAACGTGCGCAACTTGCACACGGGAACTCTGAGATTTGTTGCCCTTATTCGAGAAGCCTAGGTGTTGAATCTTACCTACCCTAACACCAGGGGTGTGGCTGAAAGACAGCAGAAAGAAGGAGCCAAGGAGTGGTAGTAAAAAGGACGCAGAAAGAGCCAGGAGCCCAGAGGAGGGGGCAAG